TAATGCGAAGGTTCGCTTTGTTGCAGCAAATTATTGCTCTCAAAATGAAGGCATAGGTTACCCTATAAATGCTTTTCAAGATCATATAAATGATTTTCAAGATTTTTAAAGTCGCCCGCTTGGCGCAGTGGTTAGCGGGTTCAAATCCACTGTGTGACATTGAGACCGGCCCTTAAGTTGAGACCGTATAAACCAAGGTCTCGTGTCGCAATAGGTGTTGGCAGGATAAAGATCCCTCACTGCTCATAGCCCGTAAGCGCTGAGTACACGTCTAAATTTGCAGCCCTCCACCAGCAAGTAATGGCAACTCAATATGAGTGAAAAATTCTCGAAGGGACGTTAAACAATCAAACAACCAAAGATCATTGAACCAAAATAAATGAAAAAAAAAAGATGGCATTGCATTTGTTATATATACATCCAATAATTATTTCTTATGAAAGGTCTTCCCCCTGTAAAAAGGTGTGATTGTCATGTAGGAATATATTTTAATGGAGTTCATTATGGCACTCACCAAAGAAAAGGCCAAGGCAAAAAATGTTGATGCAGCTTTATGGCTTTCCTCAATATGTATAAGCATATGAATTTCGATAAAAATTCTTTAAGAAGTTGAATAAATCTCACCAATATGTATCAGCTTGTTAAGTTTGAAAAAAAAAACATAAATAGTTACTTTTAAAATGAGCTAAACACAAAATTTAGAAAATTGGATCAAGGTCAAAAGAAAGGTTAGAGGTAAAAAAAAAACGTTGATCAAACTGAATACTTTTCACCAATGTATCAGCATACAAGATTTAATGAAAAAATCTTGAATAATGTCTTTGAAACTGAACTAAATACAAATTTTTGAAAAGAGAGGCCAAGGTCAAACGAGAGCTCGAGGTAAAAAAAAGTTGATGCATTTGATGAGCTCTCTGCAATATGTATCAGCAGAGAAGGTTCGATAAAAATTTCTTGAATAATTTCTTTGAAACTGAGCTCAACACAAACGTTTGGAAAGTGAGGTCAAGAAAAATAAAAGGTCAAAGTAAGATAAGAAAATAACGATGAAGCTAATATATCGACATATACGGTTTTATAAAAGTATCTTATATAATTTTTTTGAAACTGAGCTAAATACAAGTTTTTGAAAAGAGAGACCAAGGTCAAACGAGAGCTCAAGGTAAAAAAGGTTGATGCCGTTGAAAAGCTCTCTTCAATATGTATCAGCAGATAAAAGTCGATAAAAATTTCTTGAATAATTTCTTTGAAACTGAGCTCAACACAATCTTTTGAAAAGTGAGATAAAGTAAAAAAAAAAAGGTCAAGGTTAAAAAGTGTTGATGCAGTTGAATAACTTTCATCAATAAGTATCAGCATACTGTGAAATCACTAATTTTCGTGGTGGTTTAATTTTCGTTGTTTTCGAGGTATAAAGAGACCCACAAATTCATGTCCACCACGAAATTATGTCCACCACGAAATTTCATACATTTGTACCCAATAATTGATTTTCGTTGTTTTCGAGGTGTAAAGAGACCCACAAATTCATGTCCACCAGGAAATTTCATACATATGTACACGATAATTCTTCATCCAGGAAATTAAATCCCAATTAACCCATATTTTTCCCCCAAACCACAAAAAATTGACCTCACGAAAATATGTGATTTTACAGTATGAAGTATCTTAAATAGTTTCTTTAAAACTGAGCCAGACACAAAGTGTGACGAAAGAACAAATGAAAGAACAGGACGGAAGACGGACACTATATGCCCTGTCCATATTCATCGCAGATTAATTAAATTATTATTTAAAAAAAAATCGGTTAACACAAATACGGAGCAACGGCCCACTTTATCTTAAAAGTGCACGTTTATGTCATAACACTCGTATATTTCCGAGAGATATTTGAAGTTCAGTTATAACGGGTTATATATCTGGTGAAGTGGTCAACGTGTCAGTCTTTAAAGAAAAATCTCAGGATTTTATCGCTTGGGTTCAAACTTCTACTTTTTTTTTTACCATAGAATACAAGCTCTATATGCTCATAGGCATTCCAACGCCTACTTTGTCCATTTTCTTCAAGTTATGACCGATATTCCAAGAGAAAAATAAAATTACAGGGAGAAAGGTGAAGAAAACGAATGGTATCGATCTCAAAACGATCTATAAACAATACAAATCTGTGAACATGGCATAAAACACGGACCCTTGGAAATTCTGGGATCAGGTGGCTAGGTGGAGTAAGCATCACATGTTGACCTGCCACACCCGCCGTGAGCCCTGCGTATTGATTAGGTAGACGGAATATTCCGTAGTCAAATTCGGTATAAAAAACAAAGGCCTAACAATTGGTATGAAACGCGAAAATACGATTCAGTGATCAGGTTATATTTAATAACAAGGTCATTAATAAAACATCCAAATATAAAACAGATTTGGCAATCTTGGGTTTCTTTTATTTCACGTTTACTGGGATATATCGAGTCGACATAGGAATGGCAGTAATTAATTTATCATTAATTGATAATACGTCGTCGATATATCTAAATGTTGAGTTGAAGACCATAACAATTGTTTTCTTCTTCTCACGTTGAAGTTTTTGAATAACTTCAGCTTCATAGGAATATAAAAACAGTTAATTCAGAGAATCTATGTCCCCAGCTTAAAAAAGAAGAGGTTGAAAAACTGAAAAAAAAAATGCAGATGGAGAAATGAAAAGTCAACCTTGACCTTTCAGTTTTTGGACTTAAAGATAACAGGGGTCTGTTTTATGTTAAAATGCTTAAGGTAAAGATAACGAAAAGGGATCAATCTTAAAAAATCTACAGAAAATACAAATGTGTGGAAACGGCATAAAAGACGGACCCCTGGAAATTCCATAGGTGGGATCAGGTGCCAAGGATGTGTAAGCATCCCCCTGTTAGTTTATTCAGTTTCATTGCAAAAGCTTATAGAGAACTGAAGTTATCATCTGAAAACTATATATGATGTATAAATTTTGACCTTGGTCTTTAACTTCAAAATCAGTAGGAGTCTAATTTTATCTTTGATTTTTCGAAGAGTTACATACATTTCAATAAAGGAAGAGAGAGATGAAAGATGTAAATTCTGGTATTAGATGTAGAAATATTTTATTCCTGATACGATACTATCACATCTAGAATATACAGTAATTATCGACCCTGGGAAATGTGCTATCTTGAAAAGACATTAGATTTCGCTGTCATTACAAACTAGCTTCATACGACAGGTCCAAGTATTGATTTCTTATCTGTGAAACATGCATTGTCCTTCCAGTTCGACGTCTCTTTTGTACAATTTGTTTCGTCGGCTGTGTTTAATTAAGGATGTAGAATACTAAAAAATATGATTTAGAATTTAAAAGACAGTTTGTACAGGCTTTAGTTTTTTTTATCACAGAATTTTCTTTTTATGCAAACACGACTCATTCTTTCGTTCTCCCCAAGCCTGTACTTTTATACAAGTATCAATGCTCAAATTCAGTGCATATCTTAAAAACAAATTGAAATCCCCCATATAAATATAAATTTATTTCAATTTCACAACGTAACAATTTAAATAATTTGAATCTTAATGCCACGAAATACAAGAAGTTAGTATAAAACCCCACTTTCTCGAATTTTCGAGTTTCATGTGATCTTAAACGTCCATTAGAGCTAGGTCTCAATTTACTTCATATTTTGTCACTTATGATATTAACGCTTTATTGACGCTTTATTCAATAGCTATAATTGATTTCTTTTCTTGACTTCTTTATATATACACATTCATATCTTATTCAGATGCCCTCTGGTTTAATAACGGTGTGTGTACATCATCTAGAGAAAAACACTGCCTATATAAGGAATATCACATTCATGCTCTAAAAAACGAAAAAAAAAAAATACTCCAGCTAGCTGCAATTGATCTGTACTCTTAATTTAAACAAGTAACTATTTATATACCAGCTACCAGCTGCAAGATATTTCTATAACTAGGCAGGTTAATGACAAAAAGTAAGTTCATGATACAAAGATATCAACATTCTCATTTAAAGTTGATCAATGTGGAAGATACAATGACTTTTTTTTTGGAAATATACAATCTTTCTTTAAGTGGAATGTTGAATGACGTCTTTCCTACAAATTCTTAGGTCATTATTTTTACTCTGATTGCCTAAGGATTTTTTCATTTACCCGATCATGACAAGGAGCACACGACGGGAGTGACCCTTGGACAGGGGATGCTTACTTCTTCATGGCACCTGATCCTACTCTGTTTTTCAGAGGTCCATTAAATGGACTTTTCAGAAAGATCACTAATCGTTATCTTCACATATATAAACGACAATTAACCGTAAAATACTAGTATGTCATCTTTTTCAGTATTTCCTACAGTGAATGAATTCACGAAAAACAAAAAAAATATACGGATATAGCTTTATTTTTAAATACCATTAAACATAACCGAACCTTATGCATAGTCCTTTCACTACCATCCTTAAATGATGATATCATTTCTTTTAAGGAACCTTTTTATTTTACATCTAATTTTTTGGCCACTATTATTCAAAGGATTCGAGACTAATAAATTAATAAAAAGGAATTAACGGTATTTTTAGTATTTTAAGTTGTATATGAAAAAATATCACAAACGGTACATAGAAAATCAGCAAAATTACATATTGTGCTCCATTCATATTTATATTTATTTGCATTTTAGTTCCTCATGTTTAGCAGTGCATTTGTTTCAGGTTATCTCGATATGTCAAGTCTGTCAGTTTTGTTTGTTGATTTTTAAGGGAGAGAGATTACATCTTAAAATGTTTATTATATATATATATATATATATATATATATATATATATATATATATATATATATATATATATATATATATATATATATATATATAAAACATGTATCGATTCAGATCATAATTTATTAAGTGTTCCTGATTTTTCCTTAGTATTTCCTTATAATTTTAAATAATGAAATTATTTTCTCTGTATCTAGGTTTGCCTATTGCCCTGCTTCAGTTACTGGCAAGGGACACCAAGTCAAAAGTCCTTCAGAAGGCTGAGGAGTACATAACACAAGCTGCCAAAAATGGGACAAAACTTGCCATTTTGCCGGTAATTAGACAAAAACTACTCCTTATTGAAAATTTCGCCAGCATTGTATTCCAAGTATATTGTCCAATGTCCTTTGCATTGTAGGAACTGTTTACAGTAGAGCTGCATCCCCCCGTTATGATGGCGAACAAAGAAAGTATACCTGATGGAGAGACGTCTCAGCTGATGTCACACCTGGCCAGGGAACACAACATGCACATAATAGCAGGTAAACACCACAGGTATATGTACACGTTAACTTCACTCCAATCACCCACAATTCTCTGATTGTTGAACGTATTTTTTAATACAGGGTATTTATAAATGGTAAAATTGCAGTATGAAAAAAAAATTTTGGTATGTACATGTGCATCAATAACAAACATTTGCTAATTATGTAAAATGTATTTTGTAGGCTCTGTACCAGAAGAAATTAAAGGAAGCGAAAAAATGAAAAACACAACTGCCATATTTAATCCAAAAGGAGAGTTAGAAGGGAGATATACAAAGGTCAGTTAACTAGGTAACTAAGGATATGCAAATTATTTGATTGAATTATTACTGGAGGAACTGTTCAAAGACATTTATTTATATGTTACTGGAAAAAAGTTCAATCGCCCAAAGAAAAACAGCGAAAGAATAAAATAATAAATAATCTTTTTAGTATCAGAAGTATTGTTTTATCTTGCAAGTGTTCATAAGTGAAAATCACCATATTTTATTATATTGTGGAGAATTTCAGGTATATTGATGCAAATTCATATAGTTACATGTAAGGTATATTTAACAAAATTAAGTTAAACTGTGCTAGTCATGTGACATCTTACACTATAATTTACCAGTGGAATATAGGTAAAGAAAATACTAATAATACCTGATTCATAGCATATATAATGATTCTTGTAGGACGTATTTGGTTATAAGTAAATTGGGGAAAATTTATCTGTCCATCAATCTGACTTTTACAGATCAATTCATTTAATGTTGATTTTGGGGAACATTTATTGATTTATGAGTCTGATCTCACAAATCCGTTCAATCAATATTGTTTTGAGAAACATTAACCTATCTATGTGTCTGACTTTTACCAATACATTCTTTTGATGTTGATTTGGGAGAACATCTGTCTATCCATGAACACGAGTCTGTGTTTACAGATGCATCCATTTGATGTTGATTGCTAGGGTGGGGTGGTGGTGGTGGTTATCAATCTATAAATTTGATTTTTTACAGATGCATTCTTTTGATGTTGATTTGGGAGAACATTTATCTATCCATGAATCTGAATGGTTTGAGCATGGAAACAATCCAGCTACATTCAAAACTGGTAAAATTATAATTTACTTTATATTATTATACAATTATGCACAAAATGTAACACGAGTGTAAACAAATTCGAAAAAAGACACACTGCCATAAACTGAGATTATGACATGTGCCGTCATTTTGCATAGAATCAATTCAAAATGTACCCCGAACTTACGTTCCTCCCTTTCAATGGCAATGCAGCGACATGTATTTTGAATGTTACTTGCACCACAGACACCACAGGTTCTGTCACATCTGTTTCATATTTGGATATTTTACTGATTATTGACAATAAGGGCAACTAACAACTAAATTGCATGACAAACGATATGACTTTAGCTTTTCAGTCGATCGTCAACTTTCCTTATTTTTGTAGTAATATTCCACTATCACCTGCATATGGTGTCTCCTAACTTATTTGATACACAAGAGCATGTTCGGAGTACAACCAATTCAGTTCTAAACCGAGGCAGAATACTGATATATAAGTTCATGTTATATGTACAGAGGTTTCAACAATCTTGTTTGAAGTCAACATTTTTGTGAATTCTTCGGTCGTTAAAATGCCTTTGTTAGCAAATATAACCTATCATTGGGTCGTACATTGACTGACATATTTCATACCAATTGTTAGAGACCTTTGCTTTTATATTAACTTTGTCAAGGAATATTCCGTCTACCTGGTTAATACAATGGGCGTAATTACGACGGTTGTGACCGGAGGACAGGGGATGCTTACTCCTCCTAGTCACCTTATCCCATCTCTGGAAATTTCGGGGGGGGGGGGGGGGGGCTGTTCTGTGTTTTATGCCCTGTTCACAGCTTTGTATAGTTTATATGTTTTTTTTTTTCTTTTTTTTTCTTTTTTTTTTTTTTTTTTTTTAGATCGTTCACAGTTCGTTATCATTTTTTTTTATTCTTTGTCCTGATTCTGCGCCTTTTGAAATATTGTGAGACCTGTATTGAAATGTGGAGTGATATTTTCTTTTTAAGCGATATTCGTGGGGAGTAGAAGTATTGTGCTATTGATATATTGTGAGTTTCGCATTTTATTCGATTTGCAAGTACCGAAAGTCGAGTTCAGTTGGACATTAGAGCAAGATTAATTTAATCTTTGTTATCTTCATATTTCATAACAAAATCCTTTTTTTTTTGGTTCAAATACTAAAGTTGAACATGATTTTGCAGCCTTGTAGTTATTTGATATTAAAAAAAACAGCGGTTATCAAATTTTTTGTCGATGTCGACATAAATTGTATTGTTCGAAAATGTAGGAAGTGTACTTTATAAGATGTTTTGTCTTTAATTATTATAAATTATACATGCACATTTGCTTTATCAAATTACATTTGTAATTTTGCAAAGTACAACATACATATAAATACAATATTACTATAATAAGTTTTACAAAAGCTCGTACTTAATTTAAAAAAAAAAAACAAGAATGAGAAAGACAATTATTACAATAAAAAGCAAAATAGAGCTTTGCGAAAAACCAGGAGAATAAATAAGCGCAGTACATCAACGTTCTCAAAAAACGATACAGTAAAACTCGATTATTTCGAAGTTCTGGGGACCTGAGAATTTACTTTGCTGTATCCGTAATTTCTTTATATCCGTGTAACAAATTCGTTAAAGAATACATAGCGACTTCGCAATATAGAATTTTTTCCTTGAAGTATGACTACCAAATGTATTTAGGGAAGTATAAAATATAAAATTTACCTTGAAGTTCAAAAATTTTCGGATGAATAGTGTTCTAAATATATATACTTACAAAGTAAATGTCAGTTCAATATTTTAAAAACTAAATTCTTTAAAAATTCGCTATAAAAGATGTAAATTTCGTTATTTCTAAATTCTAGCGGACACAGAATCAGTTCGCTATAACCGTAAATTCATTATATCCGAGTTCGTTGTATCCGTATTATTTTAAGAGGAATTGTTAAGAATTTCGCCGGGGATTGAAAAAAAACTTCGCTAAATTCGTTATTTCCGTGTTCGTACCAAACGAGTTTTACTGTACACTGTATACAGCAATTGTAAACTAGAAAATAAATTTCTGTTTTTTCGTTTCAGATATATGTAAAGTTGGAGTAGGAATCTGTATAGACGTTCGTTTTCCTGAAATATCACGCTATTATACAGAACAAGGTCAGTATAGTCTCTCTCTCTCTCTCTCTCTCTCTCTCTCTGTATTTGTGTCTGTATGTGTGTTTCTGTTTTTAGGCTATCTTTAAAATAATGTTTGTCCTCTCCCGACTCGGGATAATAAAAAGGGTCGGTAGGTATGTGGGGAAAAAGTATAGAAATTTTCAACATCAATGCCGAATGTTCAAAATCTTTTAAAACTGAAGGTAATTATTAACTTAAAATTAGTTATCGGGATGAAAAAATTCTGAGAGAATAAAAAAAACGTTTCCTGGAGATTAAAAAAATTTAGTCGGACCGTTTTTAACCAGTCGGTCGGGAGAGGGCAAACAAACATTTTTTTTAAAGATGACCTTATAAATGATACCTAAAATTCTTTAAAGACTGTAAATTGCACGTCTACCTTGGAGCTTTTAGTGCAGCGAGAACCGGACCTGCACATTGGGACGTCCTTTTAAGAGCACGAGCAATAGACAACCAGGTTTACATAGCAGCGTGTTCCCCGGCGGCAGATAAGTCACATCACTACGAAGCCTGGGGTCACAGTGCAGTGGTGGATCCATGGTAATAGTGCTATTTCTTGGGGTTTCTAAATAAATTTTTCTCTTTTCGTCGCTTAACCTTCCTTAACTAGTGATAAATTTAAAACAGAATGAATCTTTTATATTGTTTACAATTTTTATTTTTACTTTTATCTGAATTTAAATTTTTAAATTTCTATTCAAGTTTGAATCAAAATCCTATGAACGTCGACACAGTATGAAGTTTATAAATTAAATAATGAACTTTGTTAATTTGTCCTTGTTTTTCATTTCTGTATCAGTACTTTGATTTGAAAATCTAGTTAAGTTCTCCCAGGCGAAATCAAAGGACCTTACTTCAATCAGATTGCTATAGTGTTGTCCATATTAATCTTCTCTTCGAATTGATACCATGAGAAATCAGCAAAGTATTTCGATTGTGTTTTGGTCCTTGGATACTATAGTTACTAATATTAATAAGAGGAATAGCGTACAGTGTAGTCTGGGCAACTTACCGTTCAATATTCTGTTTGGCAATGATTTACATTCCTTTTTGTTATAATAAATAAATAAATAATAAAATGAAGGCAAATCCCCCAAATTCTAGAAAACGTTTTTCTTGTATAAACTGCTTTTTAAATTTTAATTTTGCAGAAAAGGAGTAAGAAAATTGTTTTCCCTTTTGTGTTCATCTGTGTCAATTTTTCAAATTTCTTTTATTTACAAGGGGGAAGATCATAAGCCGGGCAGAGGGTGAAGAGTCCATAATATATGCTGATCTAGGTGAATGCATTACAGACATGTCAACTTCCATTGAACCATTACTATGAAGTAACCCATGCGCGGATCTAGAGGGGTTGGGGGGGGGGGGGGGTCCGGACCCGGAATTGGCAGAGTTAATAAAAGTATATACTGAATCAAGTAAAAATGACTTTGAACCCTCCTTGGAAAACGTGGATCCCACCAACACCACCACGAAATAGGTGTTTTTTACGTTTGGGAAATGATTTTAGTTTTTTTGTTTTGTTTTTTTTTTTTGTTGCTTTTTTTCGGTCCAAAATTTTTTACCTGGATAAGGAAGAGAAATTTTTGTTTTGTTTTGTTTTTGTTTGTTTGTTTGTTTGTTTTTTTTTTTTTTTGTTTTGTTTTTACTTGTCAAGAAATATTTTGGTTGGAAATTTTTTTTGACTTAGGTGGACCCCCTCTCGAAAAAATTCCTGCATCGCCCCTGTAATTATCATTGTCAGAAGAGTAATGGTGTTTTAAATTTATGAACAATCGTACAATTTTCCTGTAGCTGTTCAAGAGTGAAAAGGTGAAGATAAAATAAGTTCAAGAAATGAGAAAAAAGTATCCATTGAACATAAGGTTTCTTGCCAGGGATTGGACAGTTTTTTCCCCGTCAGAATGGAAAGTGCTAGGTAAGGGTTGTGAATGAAATGAAAACGGAGTAACAACTCAAGTAAAACTCTTTAGAAAACACAATTACAGTCGAGCCTTGTTAATTCGGATCCCTTTGTTTCCGAGCAAATCGATTTATAGAACATCCGTGTTAGTAAATAAAACGTGCCTATTTCAATTGAAAGATGATTTGAAAATATTTTATTGTATAAATAATATACAAATGGTTTGAACACAAGTTCTAGCAACTTACGAGGTTCACACCATAAATGGCTACAACTATTAATGTCTATAGAAAAGAAGACTTTGATATACAACCATGTTTGTTTTCATTCTTTACATGATAAACATATATTTAACTAGAGTTTTAGTGTTAGGATGTATAAATTAATTTAATCTACAAAAATCTCTTATAAATTTTTGTACGTATTGAAAAATATATTCATTGATTTCAAGATTTTGTGACCCATCTCCCCACAGAATAGGTGACAATCAATAAATTTAATTTAATAATTGGTTTAGTAAGACATAAAAGATTTCTAAACAGCCCCTCCCTAGCATGTTGAATTGAAAGAAATAAGATTGAATTCTGTTTTTTACAAATTCTGTTTAAACAGTGAAACGTCCAGACTATTGGTGTCCAGATAAAGGAGGCTCGACTGTACTGCAGTTTTCCTGAATTGAAAACCATTAGCACTGTCCACTCTCCTTCTTCACATTGAACATCAACATATATGTAACCATAAAAAAGATAGAAGATTATTTCAATGATTAAGATTGTTTATTAATTTACAAATAATAACAAGTCTTAAATACCTATAACAATTGAACTTATTATCCTTTTGAAACACTTATTTTCAGATATGAATTATCTAAATAAAGTGAGAGGCCAGCTTCCAGTGGAAAAGATTCGCCGTAAAGACTTATATCATCTAACGTACAACTGGTAGTGAACAACAGTGTCATCCATGAAAATTTCAAAAAAATTGTCATGGTTGAAAAATGACGAAGTCCATGATGTTTTTCAAACAGTAGATTACTTGTGATTGGAATTAGAAAAGATTCCTTAAAGACAACGCCCTGGATGATATGAAGTTATAAGTTATAGAGATCTGTATGCTACTGTACTTTCCCAACTTAGAAGATGTATACATGTACCTTCAGAAGCTACAAGCAGATGTTTATATATAAATGATATAGGCAATAGTTTAGGTTCTCATTATGGTGTCGTTAAATATTAAATTCTAGAATGACATAGAAATTCAAGTGTTTTTTTATTCATATTGCAAACATATTGCCAATCTATGTCTGTTCAATGAGATGCATGAAAGCAATCAAAATACCCCTTGCATTACTTGGTGTGGACAATCCGTGCCTGTCATTTTCATTCAGTAAAATGTTCACATTTGAATATAAAGAGTCGATATATGCACTAATTGTAACATCGTATGTGGCGAAAGGGAAACTTCGACAGATTCTGAATTAGAACCTACGGATCCAGTGACGAAATGGACCAATCATGTGTTTGCCCATTGCATATATGGGCGATTTATTTTTATGTTTTTTTTTTTTTTTTTTTTTTGGGGGGGGGTCATTTTAGCTCTACTGATTGATGGGAATTTAAAGCTTATGTGATTGTTAAGTGTCAGTCTATAGTTTAGTAGAATTTTCTTAATTTTTTGCCAGATTTTCATGAAACTTTGTTTTAAAGCTGGATATGTACATGTATTTCAATTTTTATTTCAACGCAAACTGTTTATTTCTCTGTTTATCTTTTTTTCTTAAAAATAACTTTCTCCTCCTGCATTTTTGTTCTAATATTAATAAAACTTGGTACTCAAGTTAGCGTGTAAATATTGATTTCGTAGTTTTGATTTCAACAAACAACCTAGAAATAAAAAAGTTAAAAATTGTGAAAAAGTATCCTCTTCTTTTACATTTTGTCTGAATTCAGTAAAACTTGATACAGTAAAAATCGTTTAGTACGAACACGGATTAGGCGAATTTATGGATGTTGCGAAGTTTTTTTATTTGATCCGCGCCAACATTCTTCACTATTCCTTACAGAATTTTAAGGATAAATAAACTCTGATTTAAAGAATTTACGAATACAGCGTACTGATTATACATGTATGTCCTGTAGAGGATAAAAATGAAATTGACATCCTATATAGACGTAATATGTAGATAACGAACAGTAATCAAGCTCAAAAGTCCATTGAAACAATACAAATCGGGAGCAGAGCAAACACGGACCTCTTAAAACATGAGAGATGAGATCGAGTGCCATGGAGGAGAAAGCATCCCCTATCGACCGGTCACACCCACCGTGTGCTCCTTCTCATGACCGGGAAAACGCAAAAAAATCCGTAGACAATTCAGTGTGTAAATAGTGGTCTAGCAATTCGTATTAAAAATGCCAGTCAGCAATCAACTTAATGATGGACTATGTTTGCTGACAAGGTCATTGTATCGACCATAGAACTTGCGAAATAATGACTTAAACCCACATGCACGTGATAAGGGTATATTGCTACATAAGTAATGGAAGTTGACGATAGAAAAGTAGAATTCATTACGTTTATAATAAAGTTTGTTGTTCGGATACCATAAACGTATTTTTCTAGTAAAATATCCAAATATGAAACAGATGTGTCAGACTCTTTTGTATCTTATTTCATGTTCACTCGGGTATATCGAGTCGACATACGTCGGCGATATATCTAAATGTTGAGGTGAAGGCCACAGCAAGTGTTTTCTTCTTCTCATGTATAAGTTTTGGAATAAATTCTGCTTCATATGAATGCAAATATAGATTTGCTTTAGCAAATTGTTCAAGATTAAAAAAAAATCAAAAATAATTTTTCGTAAGTGTTGATATTTGAAATTCAATGCATTAGAAAACTTATATAAGTACTCCAAGTAATTTTCGTACATGTATTTCATACTTACCAGAACATATGCGGTAGTCTTACTTGAAGATTGATTGTTTTACGTCCCACTCGAGAATTTTTCACTTATGGAGATACATCAGCATATACCGGTGAAGGCTTTAAACTTAGACTTTTACTCGGCACTCAGAAACATTGAACAGTGAGGGATCTTTATTGTGCTAATGCATACCGTAATACTGGGTCTTGGTCTTTAAGGTCTCAGCTGAAAAACTTTTACTTCAAATTGCCAAGCACTTGGCAAAGGAACTTTGCTACCTATTTTTGTCGACTTAGTTCTCTGTCGACCGGCTGATCACGGAGCGAGCGCTCTACCTACCGAGGTACCGTGACGGCCATACTTGAAGAAATAGATGTATATTGCGAATTCGCTGCATATTCTTAAACAAATTCGTTATACGGATATAGCTATTAAATGATATAGCAAAGTAAAGTCACAGGTCCCCAGAACGTCTCTAAAATCGAGTTTTAATGTATATGAGTAGGCTCCACGAAAATGCAAAGATCTTCATTTTTGTCTTTGACTCAAGATATGAAGTTGCATATTAAGGTCACTAAAATAGAATAATATGTTAAGGTCGTTGTAAAACTTCTACAGTTATGTTTTTATTCCCATATGAATATATAAAGATATATCAAGTTCCATTCTTCTCTTTATAAGTTATTGAATAGGGGAGTTGTCGTTCTGTTTGATTAAAGATGCTTTTCCTCCTACAGTTTAGCTATGAATTAATAGAATGTATTACAAAATCCAATGACATCAGGAATATGAAACTTTGAAGGAGTGTTTCTGGTCCATTTGTAGAGTGAAAAATAAAAAAAAAATAGACCTACATATCTAACATGGACTCTGGTTCCATTTTTCAAATTTTGTCACGCTGTTTGCAACAATCGTTCCTGCATTTAAAAAAAACCTTAATTCCAAATTTTATCATGAGAATGGTAAATTCTCGAGGGGATATGAAACTGAAACAAAGAATCAACCAATCACATAATTCTATGTTTAGTAATCCAACTAACACTCATGTTCTCTTTCAGAGTGATATTGTAGAATTGCACAGTTCAGATTTTATGCTTTAATACATTTATTACGACACAGAAATATTCATATTATCAAGTGTTTAGTATTCCAAAAATTTTTGTTAAATAAATCTGACTCTAGACAGAGTTCCTCTGAAGTTGAAATTAAAAAGATGCTGTAATTCCCTATTGAAATAACCATGTGGTATATACTACAAATGTGTTGGAAATCTCAATGGACACACACTTTATTTTATTTTCCGAGGTTTTTTGTATTCTTATGAAGAAAAAAATATTGAAATATTTGTGAGTTATATTGGATGTTTTGATGTAATGACGACAAATAATAATGTATTTCATTCAAATGTTGACTCAATATATACCAGTATACTGTATATAAAAGACACCACAGAGTGTGTCACATCTGTTTCGTCTAACTGAATACGGACGTAAATAAAAATAGAGCTATGACAAACGGGAAAACTTCAGCTTTTTCCTCGTCACCTTTACATATCGATTCTATATTTATTTTCATATGCATATGTCTGTCTCCTACTTGATTAGAGACTCATAAACATATTCCGTGTACTAGCAATTTTCAATCTAAAATATGTTGATTTTACAGGGCAATTAAAGAGTAGCAATTTGCAATCTCTTTGGCCGCTAAAATTTTGTTAGGTTAATTTTGTCTAATATATTTCCCGCTAATTATTATTATAAAGAAGCCTCTGCATTACTGACCAGGTGTCCTACTGAAGAGCTATCCAGGGCATAAGCCAGGGTTCATATAACCCATTTTACTATATTTCTAATCAAACAGTCTTCTCAGTCGAATACACACAATGCAGATTAAACTGCAGAAGGGATGGCGTTTTACGGCAGAGGTGCAGCAGTTTGACAGTAGTGGTACAGTAATGGTTACAAACAAGTCGCTGTCCTTTAAAAAAGGATTGCAATACGTGGACCATATGCAAGTGTTTCTAAACGAAATTCAAAGAAAGTTTCTAGATTTAGTGATTTTACAAAGGTGTAATTAATTTTTTTTTTTTTTTTTTACATGTATCTTGTAATTTTCATCGTTATTTAAGTCTGCTTAATTAGGTTGTAATGATAAATAAATCATGACCTAGAAATGATATGAATATGAAATGTTGATCTAGATATCTATCATAATATTGTAATGTAGCCTTTAAAATTAACAACAGAATTAAAAGAGGCTTAAGCGTGCAGGTATCGTAATGGCTGAATTTTAACTCCATTGGCAGATCCAGGGAAAGGGGGGGGGGGGGGTCGGGTGTTGGAACCCACTTTATATTTGCAGAAAGAGAGAGAATGGTTTTTTCTGTTATATAGATATTTCTACGTCTAGTATTTTCAATTAAATAAGTACTTCAATTTCTGCCCTTTCTGCTCTCTAGATAGAGTTTTGCTTGAGTTTTGATTTGCATTGGAAGCTCCCCCGCACTTTTTGTTGCGGGAAGGTTCAAAATACGGAAAATCAAACATTTAAAAGAAATCAAAATATACCGAAAAGTTAGACGAAACCCCCCCCCCCCTCCCAAATAGGATTTAAGAGTGTGGTGCACAGGTTGTAATTTTAATTTATTTTTGCTTTTCAACTTTTTTTTAGGTTGACCCCTTTAAAAACCGTTGCTACGGGCTTGAATGTAAGTGCCTGCGGTGTGACCTAGAACCCCCTTTCAAAAACTGCTGGATCCGATCCTGTACTGGAGCACTAGAAGGTCTCGGAACTAGAGGGTATCGAATTATCTAAAACGATGCTAGGTTATCGATTAACTCGATCAATTTGAAAATTTGAAAAACACAAAAAAATGATTAATTTTGTGTGTGTTTTTTACTCTGTCTCTTTTTAAATAACGGAATGGTTAATATAGAACACCTGCAATAGTAACTTCTCGGCAAAACAACGTGTTTATCCGAGATCGCCAGAAGGTCTGAGAAGATGCGATTGACAATCT